CCCCCTCCCAGACGCATCGTCGTGGCCCGGATGAAGTCCTTGGAGCGGGTGTTTGCCACAGAGGAGCGGCATCAGAGGTCGCCCTGGGAGCCTTGGGGATTAGGGCCAGATAGGGCTTGCTTTCGGAGTACAGCTGCGGCCAGTTGAGGGGATCCTCGATGCCAAATCTTCCATCGGGCCGAAGAATAATGTCCACACGGCCAACAACCAGCTGAGGTACCCACAGCTTGTTCAGAGCGACCACGATGTGAGTCCCACTGTCGGTGTTCGCATGGGCGCGACCGCGAGCCCAGGAGAAGTTTCGCCCCTCAGTCTGATAATCTACTAAATTAATCACTCAGGGCGATTCGAGACATCGACAGCGGAAGCATCACGTACCTTGAAGTGTCGTAGACGACGTAGCAGGAACCATGTAAGGTGGAAGGGCAGGTGGCGTGGGAGCGAGGGAAGCTATCGTTCGCGAGGTCCCCGGACGAGATTGGCGGTCAGCGGCCGGCGCCGTTTCGCGCTGTGTCGTCCGCTTGAACGACGAGTTCTTGCGTCCGAGAGGCTGCTCCTCAGTTGCTGAAATTCGTGCGCTCGCCGCGTCAGTTGAGTCCGCCATCGCCACGTCGAGAGACGGCAAGGTCGTGGGTTGGGCTGGAGCAAGCGCATGAGGCCCATCGGGTGCTTGGCCCGGTCGCGCTGGTAGGCGAAAGGGCTCGATGGCGCGCCGATCCCAGGGTGCCGGCGCGCGCACACGACCCGCCTCGACCGCTTCGCGCTGGCGCCAAAGGTGCTCGAGGTGAGCGTTGGCGTAGTAGCCCCACTCCATGAACGCCTCTTCTCCGGCACCGTATCGTGGGGGGCGCGGCACGCCCCGATATGCACCATCGATGTCCCGCTTGAGTAAACGCTGCGCCATTCGAGCGTTGCGGACGCAGCGGCTCCATTCTGTTTCTGCCTTGGGCGGAGGCTGTTTCTTCCGGGCTTCGTATTTGCGACGGACCTTATCCCGATGGGCCAAATAATTGCGACGCTCTCCTTGTGTCATGCCTTCGAGGTCAGTGCTAGAGACGTGCCCGTCGTCCTCTTCGTCCTCGAAATCCTCGTCTGACTCCGGGTACACGACCTCCAGCCGCGGGGCAGGCCTGGGATTTTGCTGTTCGTCGTCAACGTCCATGGCGGTCGGGCTGACCACAGCGGCAGGCTGTGCGCGACGCGCAGCAGGCGCCTCCACTTGGTCATCATCCGGGCGAGGTCTTTTCTTGAAATGAAGGCCACTGAGTTTTGACGGGCCTGGTCGAGGAGGAGACGAACTTCGCGAGTGACGTGAGGAGGACATTGGCCAAAGGTAGGTAGCAGATCTTGAATCCAGAGTCTTGAGTACGGGTTGGTGGACAGCAAACGTGCAGCCAAGCAGAGGTGGCCGAAGGTGACGAACCTCTCGAAACTGATGCCGAGGGAGGATAGACGGACTTGTGTGCTCAGTCTTGAGCCCGAAGGTCCAGTGGAAGGTGAGACGCGTTGGTAGACAGCGAAAGCGCAGCTACCAGGCGGAGGTGGTCACAAGGGACTAACCTCAAGTTGCGATCCGGAGACGGAGGCCCTGGATCGTTGCGTTAGTTGTCAACAACCATGAGGAGCGGCAGTACCTACTGTCGCGAGGATAGAACGTCTTGTAGCCTGAACCTTGAGTCCGAAGGTCCAGTAGAAGGTGCGACGCGTTGGTAGACAGCGAAAGCGCAGCTACCAGGCAGAGGTGGCCACAAGGGGCTAACCTCGAGTTGGGATCCGGAGACAGAGGCCCTGAATCGTTCTAATAGCTGTCAATGACCATGAACAGCGAGATTACTTACCGCCGTTGTTGACGCTGTTGCGGTGAAGGATGAGGAGGGAAGGGAGAGCAAGTGAGGGGCTGTGTTGAAGGGTGGACGGGGAAGTAGGAGCGCGCAGTAAGGCCAACAACAAAGGTCACGTGGTCACCTTCGGGCTACAGCTACGCGCTCCATTTCTTAAGTCTCTCAACACAACCGACAGCGCGTCCCTAGCCTCCTGTCTCCTCAGACCGAGGCTCTTCCTCCATTTCCGGTCTATTCAGACACGAAATGAGGAGCGCGCAATACTTTCGATCTCCCGGTCGTCTCTCAATGCTCCCGCCAACGGCGCATCCGCGGTCTCCGACAGCGCGATCCTGGCCTCCTGTCTCCTCAGACCGAGGCTCTTTCTCCATTTCCGGTCTATTCAGACACGAAATGAGGAGCGCGCAATACTTTCAATCCTCCGGACGTCTCTCAATGCTCCCGCCAACGGCGCATCCGCGGTCTCCGACAGCGCGATCCTGGCCTCCTGTCTCCTCAGACCGAGGCTCTTTCTCCATTTCCAGTCTATTCAGACACGAAATGAGGAGCGCGCAATACTTTCAATCCTCCGGACGTCTCTCAATGCTCCCGCCAACGGCGCATCCGCGGTCTCCGACAGCGCGATCCTGGCCTCCTGTCTCATCAGACCGAGGCTTTTTCCACTTCTGGTCTATTCAGACACGAAGTGCGATACTTTCGATCCTTCAGACGTCTCTCAATGCTCCCGCCAACGGCGCATTTACGTCTCTTTCCCTTTTGCCGGAGGGTTTCCCTTCCAACTCAGTACACTCCCATTGGGTAGCACGCAAGTCCATTT